AACTCCAGTCTCCCATTTAGCCGGCTCTGTGTGAATTAAACATTTTCTCTACTGCAGTTCCTCTGTCTTGATAAATTGGCTCTATCTGGGCAGCTGGCACAAAGAACCCCTTGGGTAGTTACACTGTTATGAAACACAAATGTTTGCAAAAGCAGTTTGTAAAATATCAGTTGCTGTGTTTTATATATATATAAAACACACACACATATATACACACACACACACATATATATATTTATATTTACTACTAATGATAAGGTGAGATTATTCACATCAAAACTATCCATGAGTTCATACTCATGGAACTGAGACTAGTGTCTGTGTTAACTGGCACCAGTTACCTCTTACGTATGAGGTGCCTCTCTGAGAGACCATGAGATCTGAAGACTATCAGACTCCTACAGGAATTCAAATAGATTTTAATAGTCCAGGGTGTACATACACATTAGGTTCTCAAGGACACAAGTCAAGCACATAATTGAACAAAGACCAGGTTAACACACTCTCTAGAACTGCTTCCTGCAGCATGAACTATAATGGGAGACACTAGGAATTGATAATCTAATCTTGCTGTTTGTTAGCTCAGATAAGAATTTCTCATCCCACTAAGAGGCAAAGGCAGGATTTGTCCTCTGAGTCTCTAAAAGCAACTAATCCAAAATTCTGAGAGTTTGAAGTCAGACTTACAGATTGACACAATGAAAAAAATAACCAAATCTTTTTGAGTATCAAGTAAAGCAAAAAGAAATAAATCCAATAGGGGAAAAAAGATTTCGGGGAGTATTTCCAGAGACTTAATGCTGTGAATGCTTAGAATCATCTTGAATTTCTCTCCTAAGCTCCTGACTTTCAGAATTTGATAAATTGTAACGCAGCATGTTAGAGGGAAGCCTTTCTGTCTGTCAAGATTAAGGTAAATTGGCTTAGTCTCCTGTGGCTGTAGAAGCTCTTCAAGATATTAATGAATCTGGGGGAGAAGTTTTATTCTCAGCATTTTGTTTGCCTCCTGCCTCTTCCATGAATACTACTCTGCACTTTCCTATCTTGACCCAGATGTGAAATCACCCTTTCTCTTGAGTCACATAAAAGTTTCACTCAAAGAAATTATTTGGGATTCCTTTTGCACATCTCATAGGCTCTATTGGAATGTGTTGTGTCAGTTTGGTTATGACGAGGGATCTCTAATATTAGCCATGATCAACGAAACAAGAGAAAAAAAAAACCCTTTCTGTTATTAAGTAAAGCAAACCATAAAATAATAGTTTGCCAAAAGAAGAAATTGCATGGGATTTAAAGGCGAATTGAATTTAAAGGAAGTTGAAGCTGAAATCCGTGTTCTTAGAAGATTGTTGTAGTCAGAGGCTGAATTGGTTTAAATATTTTCTCTAAAACTCATACTGGAATTGTATTGCCACCGTAGCGGTATTAAGAGATGAGACCTTTCAGAGGTGATGAGGGCTCTGCGTTCATGGAAAGGCTAATTATGGTAGGAATGAGTGAGTTATTGTGAGGATGGGTTCCTGATAAAAAGGATGAATTCAACCTGATTTCCTCTTTGTCTCACATGCTCTTTCATCATGTGGTGCCTTTCCACCATGGGATAACTCTTTCCAGATGCTGGAGCTGTGCTCTTGGACTTTCCAGCCTTCATGAGCCAAATAGGTCTCTTTTTTACAAAAATAAATTACCAACTCTTTGGTATTTTTTTAATAGTAGCAGAAAATGGACTAAGAGAGATCGTGACAGGTGTACAAAGAGGTGCCCTAAGCATCCCAGCTTGTCTTCATTTTCCTCTGCATCCACTTGTTTATTCAATGGTTGGTTCTCTTCACAACTGTGACTCCAAGCCCACCACCAGACCACTATCTGTGGGCCCACTGAGGACATTGCTATTTGAACTCAAGGGCTGCCACCAGAAGCAGCAGGGTCTACAGACCTCTACTTGGCTTGATCTTTGTGTTTCATTTCAAGAGCCACACATTCTTGGACCCCACTCCATCCACATGAGTACTTCAGATAGACTGATTGATTAAAGTTTTCCTAATCTTTGTAGTCACCTTTCCAGACATTCACTTCCTCAGCTATGCCACAATTGTCCAAATTCTAATTCCTCTGTTAAATTCTGTTCCCATATTACTTATAGCATCTTGGCTGATACATAGAGTTTACTGTAATCCTGGTTTCTCTCCCCTGAGCCTACTCTTCTGTTACTTCTCCTCTCTCATTTTCCTTTTTTATCTAAAGAACCACATAAATTGTTCCTTTTTTTCTAATGACAAAATAAATTTGTTTCTGGATCAGAGCTTTAGCTTTTTACTGCAATATGATGTCAAGGTATTGCCAATAGTTCAATTAATTTCCTTCTTTAGGGGAATGTGAGCATTTACCTGTGCTTGTATGTATTTGGAAGCAATCCAGGTACTACAATATTTAGGAGGAAAGGTGGGTTCTCTGTAGATGTGATTAAGTGAAGGATTTTGAGATGGGAAGATCATCCTGGATAATTTGGGTGGGTCTTTATAACAGGGAAGTAGACCAAGATTAGATGGCCACACAAAGAAGAAGGCCGCATGATGATGGAAATAGAGTCTGGAAGCATGCAGGCACAAGTCAGGGAATGTGGACAGCCACGAAAATCTGAGGGAGGCAAGGAGACAGGTTTCCTCTGGGGCCTCCAGAGGGAGTGTGGCTCTGCTGACACCACACCCTGATTTCAGTTCATTGAAACTGATTTCCAAATTCTGGCCTCCAGAACTGTCAGAGAATAAATTTATGCTGTTTTAAGCCACCAGGTTTATGCTAATTTGTTACAATGGCCATCAAAAACTTAACACATCACTCTAATATTGTCTTCTGTGAGTCCACTGCTTGCAAGTCAGAGAGCCCGTACTGCTTGCCCTTGCCTCTGTGCCCTTACATATGAGCTTCTCCCTGGAGGACTACCTCCTCCAAAGGTGTCCATTTATGCAACTTCAATTTTCCCTTAAACATTCAACTCAGACATTACTGTCTTGGTGAATTCTTAACTGAATCTTGATTTGGCTTGGTGACTCATCTTTTACCTTCTAAGGCCACCTTTATTTCTCTGCTAGAACACTTGTCATACTAAACTTTAATTATGCTAAAGTTAACATCTCTATTGTATCTAGTACAAAGCCTCTTGAAGGTAGGAATTATGTTCTCTACAGTTCTAATTTCTAGCATTAGGATGACATATATTAAAAACACAGTAAATGTTTGGTGAATGAAAGAATGTAAGAATAAATGAGAGTGGATGAAGGAAGTGGAGAAAATAACTCATATTTTTGATACTTACAGTTTGCTTCAGAAAAATGATTTGTTAGAGAGGTGTATACTGTGGAACTGAGAGATTTTCTTGAAATTGTAATTATCTCTGCTAACCAAGTCTTCTATTCACATGGATTCGAAGAGATGACTCAAGAATGAATTTGCTCCAAGGATTGACTCATTCTTCAATATATTATTTCATTTACCAAATACAATGTACATTTAATTTATCAAAGCTACTACTGGCAAAAGAGAAATGAGTAAAAAAAATCTTACCATCAAGGAGTTTATACAATAAGGGAATACAGTCTATTCCTAGGTAATTATAATCAAATACTATATGCTATAAGTGATGTAGTGGTTCATCAAAAAGAAAAGGAATTCCCTGTAGTAACAGATCAGGGAAGATTTATGTAAAGGCGGTAGTTTTATAGCTGGGGTTTGAAAAAGGGACAAACAGAAAGATGGAAATCAAGTAGTCGACAGAATACATGTGGAATGGCCTGAAAATTAAAAAAAGAAAAAAGTAAGACATTTTATGGAAATGGCAATTTCCCGAATTATGAAGTTCACAACAGAAGTATGGCTGAGGACAATATTAAAAAGATAGGCTGTGTGTAAATTATAGAAGAGAGTGAATGCTAAGTCAAGGAATTTGGATCCTACTCTAGGATTATGGGACTCATAAAAAGACATTGATGAAATGAGTATTACCAGTATCATGTTTTCAGGATTCGAATCTACTGGAAGGGGAAATATACATGTTAGAGTTGCAGAGATGGAAGCAAGGAAGTCTCTAAAGAGATCTTTAGATAAAGATACAAATCTAGTGAAAGAATAAGTGAACAGAGAGAACAGGGGACAAAGGAAAGGGATGGAGAGAAGGGACAAGACTTCGTGCTTTGACACTGTGCATGGGGAAGACTTGGGGGCAAAGATTACCCTGGCATTTTGATTGAATGAAATTGGTTATTATTGAAATCATAAGGAGAAATAAGAAAACAAAATGTAAACATGAAGATAAAATTATGATTGTTTACATGATTGATAAAATATCTATTAAAGCTAATAAAAGTTCAGTGCAGTACATTGAGAGAGACGACCATTATAGCTGCAGTTTGGAATCATATAATGATCAGTCTTATACTGCCTTACAGAGAACTCCTAATTGGACTCTATATTGGAAGCAGAAGAACTGTGTCACAGTACTCACCCGCCTTGACCAGGAAGCCCCAAAACCTGTGTCAGGTTATAGGGTATACTGTGAAGACTAGGACACATCAGGTTTTTTTTTTTTTTTTTTTTTTTTTTTTTTGAGATTGAGTCTTACTCTGTTGCCCAGGCTGGAGTGCAGTGGCACAATCTCAGCTCACTCCAACCTCCACCTCCTGAGTTTAAGCAATTCTCCTTCAGCCTCCCGAGTTGCTGGGGCTAATTTCTTTTGTATTTTAGTAGAGACGGGGTTTTACCGTGTTGCCCAGGTTGGTCTTGAACTCCTGAGCTCAGGCAGTCCACCCGTCTCAGCCTCCCGAAGTGCTAGAATTACAGGTGTGAGCCACTGTGCCTGGCTGGGTAAGGTTTAGGAAACATTGGTTGTCCCATTCTACCAAAGACTGTAGTGACTCTTCAACTGGACAGAACATAACTTTAACATTCAGGTTGGATCCTTAATATACTCAGAACATCCTCACCATCCAAACACTCACTTTGGGTTTGCCCTCAAAACCCTTTATTGACACACTCTGGTCCCCTTCGGTTCATGAAATTTTGGCTCTTCTCTTTTGTCATTAAGTGGAACAATTCCCCAGCTCTTCTTCCTGTCTCTCACCTGCTTTAACTTCCGTATGTATTATTTGACTTATGACACATTGTCATTTGGCTCCTCTCGTCCTGCTGTACCAGCATTGAGTCTTAATCCCATTGTGTTTTTTTCTTGCTTTCATCTTTACCTAAAGCCTTTAAAAAAAAAACTATTCAAATATATTCAATATCCAGCTCCCAACTATACTGTAACAATCAGCAGAGAAGCAAAGGCTAAGAACACAAGGTGACTAAATTGCTTGGGAAGGGAGAGTCAATATGTTTTATTTTGCATGCTAGCTCTGGAAAATGGAAGTGGCATTTGGAACACTGGGTTAAGAAGTATTTCTGTACTCATTGGAAAGAAGTACCGTAATTGATAAAGAGCGTGTTCCTTGTGTATGTGAAGACGGAGAGATGACACTTATGCAGGTACATGCCATTCTTGTCCGAGAGGGCTGAAGGCAGATGTCTGAAAACAAACTGTGGAGGGTTCTTTTTTAAAGAGGTGTGATGCTTAAATGTTACATCAACTTAACGAGGCTATGTAACGTGCCAGTTGTTTCACTAGTCTGGATGTTGCTGTTAAGGTATTTTGTAGAGGTCATTAACACCTACCATCAGTTAACTTTAAGTAGAGGAGATTAACCTCGATAATGTGAACAGGACTTCTCCTATCAGTTGAAGTTCCTAAGAGCAAACAGGGAGGTTTTCTGGAGAAGAAATTCTATACCAAGACAACATACAAATCCTGCCTGAGTTTCCAGCGTGCCAGGCTGCTACCAATTTAGGCTTGTCAGCTCCCACAATTACATGAAAAAAATTCCTTAATGATATATACAACATGTGTTTGTGTGTGTGTCACACTTTTCCATCTTGATTTTTTAAAATATTATTATTATTTTGAGACTGGGTCTCACTCTGTCACCCAGGCTGGAGTGCAGCAGTACAATTTTGGCTCACTGTAACCTCTGCCTCCCAGGCTCAAGTGATCCTCCCACCTCAGCCTCCCAAGTAGCTGGGACTATAGGCACTCACCACCATGCCTAGCTAGGTTTTTGTATTTTTTGTAGAGGCAGGGTTTTGCCATGTTGCCCAGGCTGGTCTCGCACTCCTGAGCTCAGGTGATCCACCCACCTTGGCCTTCCAAAGTGCTGAGATTACAGGCATGAGCCGCCGTACCTGACCAGTTTTCCATCTTTAAAGAGGATATCAGTTTAACATCAGTTTAAAGCATGGCAAGAGTTTTACTCCAGTTATCCCTTTAATAAAAAAAAATAGTCATACCTGTTATAAGTTTGTTTAATACCTGAAGATTATTATTTTCTATCCAGGAAGGAGCTACATTAGGGATCAAAGATCCCCTTCATATTCCTAGAAGCTAAGGTGGTGCCATGTTATAGGAAATAGAATTTACTGAGCCAGAGCAGACCTTGTTTCTGCAAGTACTTCCTCTTGCCCTTGCCTGTGCATACCACACAGGTAACATTAGTGATAACGTTCAGAGACATTGATTAGATGAAATATGACAGATGGCTGACTTCCTTCCCTTCACATAAGGCATTCCCAAAGACTTAAATACCACTTGGCTTTTCTAGCAAAGTTTATTTTTTGTCACTCCATCATGTTCTTTCCATGTGACCTACAACAGCTGTTCTTTCACCTTTTACACTGTTTCTTCCTGAAAAATTAAAAACAATTCTAATTAAATGCTATAATGAAACTATCAATCTATGTTACTGAGGCAGAACTTTAATGTAATTAGTTATTGATAGCACAAAGCAGGGTTTGGTTAGGATGAGAGTAGGATGGGTGGCTGGCTCTGGGATTCCTGTAAGACACATGACCACGGTTGGAGACACATAAGTGATTTATTTGGTTGTTTCCCCAAAGGACATTTATGTTAATATGGTCCGTGGGAGATGAATAGTAATATTGTTATAAAATATAACACAAAGTTTTGTGATACTACCAGTGAGGCCTACAGGAACAGAATAGGTTATTTTCCTTGGATAGCCTTAGTAATAAATAAGTTCTATGGAAAGAGCAATTAATTTGAGAAATAAGTAGAAATAATAGAGATATAACGAATACTTTTCTAGTTTGGATACAATTCTTAATCCAAGAAAACTGTGACAGCGAGAGCTTGAAAACTGAGACTATCTCCTAGTATTAATTTCATGCATTTCATCTTTTTCTACAGTTTGTACATAGAAAGCATTCAATAATTGATCACATAATGAATGCCTTAGTGTTTAGGGTGATTGTATTAGGCAGGTCAGTTGCATTTTCCACTGTACTGTATTAAATTGAAATACCAGTAATAAAAAATATGCCTATAAACACAACCTCCTTTCAACAACTCAAAAATATGTGCACCAAATGTATAAACAAAGAAAGAAGTGAAAATCTATTAGCTTACTAAGATTAGGTCACCGTGTCCCCTAGAATGCAAAACATGTCTAGCGTTTCAAATTTAGCATGTTGAAATGAACAAGATTAGTTTATTTTGCATAGAAATGTGATATTTTATGATTATTTGTGTAATAACTATAAAAGTGTTTTGCGTTGCAAACAACATTTAGTTTAACCAGTAAAGTAATTTATGAAAGATCACTTGTAACTTATGGCTCTCCAGGAGGTATGAAAACCAGACTCTTGAGCTACTAATTTGGTTAACAATTCTTAGTTAACCAAAAGGGCCTTTATGGGGGAAATTGTACCTCATTACTGTTTGGCTTCCATGATATTCAGTTCTGGATGTCAGAAGCTCTGCCACTGCTACCTGCATGAAACATGGTGCCACCCCCATCGTAGCTGCCAGAATATCAATTATCACATGCTTAGAAGTGTGTGTCGATAACCTTCAGAACCCAGTATGCGCAGGTACATGTGAGTGGCAGAGTCTAGATCACATATGTGTACCCTAGTAGCAGGGGTGTCTGGTGACACAAGTTCCCTACCTTGGAAAGGCAGGCTCCCTGAAAGTAGACAATGACCAACATGTAAGAGATGTTCAGAGCACGTTGGTGCATGTTTACTACACAGAGGCAGTCCAGGTGGATGGTTCGTACACAGTATTAGAAGCTTATGGGTGCTTCATATGCTTGAACCATTTTCAAATAAAAGGAAAACTCACCAATCTGTAAGTTACAACTTTGTCAAGTTATTAATAACCTCTCAGACTAGTACAAATTTGCATTTTTATGGTAATGAATGTGGAACAAAATGATCTAATCAATAAGAAAGTTTTCATATTGCATGATGCAGAAGACATACAAAGACATTGTCTGACTTTAGTGACACTTTCTCTGTGAAGGAATTTATAAACTGTAATCGAAATTAACACTGGATATATTACATTGGTTTGTAAGGAATTAATTTACAAAGGAGTTTGGAAAAAAAAAAAAAAAACAACAAAACAACTAAATGCATGACTTACCAAGTTACCCAAGGGCAAGGTCAAAATGACCAGTTATTAGTATTGAATATATTTCACAGAGGAAAAAGTTTAACTTTTAATAGTGTGGTCTATTGAAGACAATAAAGATTTATCCCTAAGGATGTTTTAGGGCATACCAGAAAGTCAAGGAAAACTATGCAGTAGAAAAGAATACCTTTGTCACCAGTTTCTCTATTTTAAAGAGATTTAAAGTTTAGTTTTATAGGATTGCTTAGAGGCAAAGAGATCAGCAAAATCAGACTGTTTTATTCTAATTTATGCTAATTTCTTCTACCTAGCCACAACTTTATGCTGATTTTCTTCTACATAACCTCAGAGACATTTTTTCTTACTTCCTGGGAAAGTTTTGAGATACTAAATGATGTGTTTCTTCACCCCTCCTGATAATTCCATCGTTCTGAACTTTCTTATGCAAACAGCTAGGACATCCTGGGCTGTTGCCTCCGGAGAGGGAAGTGACAAGCTGGAAGGAAAAAAAAAAAAGGTAGCCTGCCAATCTCTTCCTGGCTTTCATTCAAAGCCTAAATAGCTTAAGGTAATTGAGAGAGCTCCAAGCACAGACAAAAATGTTTGGAGTAATATGAAATAGAGAAAATCTGCTTCACTTCCCTGCTGGCCCAGCACGTTTTGCAACCCCATCCTTTCTATGACCATGACCATCTTTTCTAGAATAGATTCACCTAAGCTGAACTCTAGGAAGCAGCAATATTTCCAGAAAATGCTGTCTGCTTAGTCCAACCCAATGAGGTTCTTCTGAAGCCTCAGAGAATGCCCCAGAGTGTCCCAGAAGCTGAAATATTTCTCTGACACCAAACATTGCACCAAAGCAGCAAAGACTTGGTACCTGTCAGGTTCACGTAAATGGGAATGAGGCACGTCTCTGTAGCTACCTATGTGGACCTAATGACTAAAGCCGAAACAGAATGAAGGACTTAGCCTTAGATACCTATATGGAGAAATGACACGACAGGACAGAATCCCCACCTTGACTGATGTAGCCTACACAAAACTTATCAGAACATCAGAACATGGAAACTTCCTCAGGGAGGAGAGAGGAAAAACATAAAATTGGCTGAGATTTCAAGACATTATCCAGATCTTGAAAGATAATTATGCTTCTATAGAAAAAAAGTAAAATGTTTCTTTGTCTGTCTGAACTGCAGACTACGATGCTACCTGCACAGAGAAATTAGAGAAAATGCTTTTACGTTGTTTTTGATTAGAACACATTTAAATACGGTTATTTTGCTGAACACAAATGTATTTATTTTCCATTTATAAAATTAAGGATTCTACTTAGATAATAACAATAAATATATTTTCTTTATTCTCTATACTGGTGGAGTATGTGATTTAAAAATATTTATTCATATGAATGGGAACAAATTCAAAAGAAAGTTTTTTGTTTGCTTTTTGTTTTTCTTTTTTGTTTTGAGACAGAGTTTCACTCTTGTCACCCAGGCTGGAGTGCAGTGGTGCCATCTCAGCTCACTGCAAGCTCCACCTCCCAGGTTCAAGCAATTCTCCTGCCTCAACCTCCTGAGTAGCTGGGATTACAGGCGTCTGCCACCACGCCCAGCTAATCTTTTGTATGTTTAGTAGAGACGGGGTTTTGCCATGTTGGGCAGGCTGGTCTCGAACTCCCGACCTCCGGTGATCTGCCTGCCTCAGCCCCCGAAAGTGCTAGGATTAT